GTGTGTCTGTGTGTCTGTGTGTCTGTGTGTCTGTGTGTCTGTGTGTCATGAATGAACTGAGGGTGCACAGTTTATACCAGGAATTTATTTAGTAAAAAGCAGACATTTCCCATTTTGAAAACAAAGTTATACAGAATTCTGCAGACTGACCTCATTCTAGACTCTTATTTTCCTCGCTCCTGTTTATGAGTTGAGGATCTGAGTTATTAAAGCTCAAGTTATTGATTCATTCCATCATCAGCAGAGCTAATGTTCGAGCTCAGCCCTTAAACCCTATTTCCTTTCAGCCAGTCTGTTTACCATTCAACACAAGAAGCTGTTACAAATGCCAAGTGGCAGGAGCAACATCCCAGGATATTGTGTCCCTCATTCCGTTCCCTGCTATTGTGCCACAGTGGGTAGTGAGCACACCTCTCTGGGTCCTCAGGGGTTGATTGCTGGAAGGAGATTACAACACACAGATTAACATTCCATCACAGTGCTGAGGGTTTGCCATGGATTTTAGAGATTCCTTTGGTACATTTGGAGAAAGATGTAGACATTCTCCGGGTGGCCTGGACAATAAACCGCCTTCAGCAACAACACGAAGAACAGATTGGCTGTTGATTTATCCACTTGCTCTTTACGGAACACCAATACTGTTTAAACAGTCACTCCTTTCCAAACCTAAATCGTGTTGTGAACTGCTTTGTGATTAGCCAGCAACATAACCATTTCTACTTTAGAAAAAAATCCTTCAAGCACAGCAAATATCCCAAAAACTTCATACAGGTGAAAATAATTGGACTACTAGCCAATGGAAAAATGTCTTTGACAGTAAGGTCAAGATGGAAGACAACAGACTGATGTCAAGGGAGTGGGGGTTGGGGGGGGTGGTCAGGGGAGCAGAAGAGGGGAGGGAGTTGGAGGGTAGTAGGTGGAGGGAACAGGTTGGAGGAAGGAGCAGAGTAGGGGAGGGAGTAGGTGGGGGAGGGATTGTAGGGTCAGAACGTGCAGGTAGACTCAACAGCAGCTGGGAATTGTTGGGGGTGAAATGGTGAGATCTTGGAGAAAATGCCATCAGATGGAGTTTTAGACAATGACTAGAGGAGTTTTGGAACTCTGATTAAGCAGCAGGTATATGTACAAGTCATTTGGCACAAAGTTTCTTAGCTGAGGGTTTAGTATAATGTTTTATGTTATGTCTTAGCAACACGGTAGTTAATGAATGCATAAAGGCACCCTGTGTGCACCTATCTGTCCACTCCCTCACTGTTAATATATGCCATCTACAAGATGCACTGCAATAATTTAGCAAGGTTCCTCTGATAGCACTTTCCCGACCCATGACCACTTCCATCAAGAAGGAAAAGGGCAATAGATACATGGGAACACAACCCCTGCAAGAGAGATAGCAAGAACTGCAGATGCTGGAGTCAGAGTCAATACTGTGTGAAGCTGGAAGAACACAGCAGGTCGGGCAGCATCATTGGAGCAGGAAAGTCGACATTTCAGGTCGGGACCCTTCATCAGGACTGAAGAAGGGTCCTGACCTGAAACGTTGACTTTCCTGCTCCTCTAATGCTGCCTGGTCTGCTGTATTCCTCCAGCTCCACACAGTATTGACACAACCCCCCCTGCAAGTTCCTCTCCGAGCCACTCACCATCCTGACTTGGAAATATATCGCCATTCCTTCAGTGTCACTGGGTCAAAATCCTGGAATTCCCTCTCTAACGACATTGTGGGTCAACCCACAGCACATGGACTGCAGAGGTTCAAGAAGGCAGCTCACCCCCAACTTCTCAAGGGGGCATTTAGGGACACGCAATAAATGCTGGCCCAGCCAGCAACACCCACATCCCACAAATGAATAAAATAATTTTGCCTCCAATACCAACACTCAGTAGCAGCAGTGTGTACCATCTACAAGATGCACTGCAGAAATTCACCAAAGATCCTTAGACAGCTCCTTCCAAACCCATGACCACTAGCATCCAGAAGGACAACGGCAGCAGATGCATGGGAACATGAGCCCCTGCAAGTTCCCCACAAAGCCCTACCCCATCCTGAAATGGAATTATATTGCTGGTCCTTCAGATTTTTCAAGTCAAAATCTTGGATCTCCCTCTCTGGCAGCAGTGTCAGTGTCCCTAAATCACATAGACAGCAGTAACTCACCACCGCCTTCAAGGGCAATCAGGAATGGACAATAAATGCTGGCCCAGTCAATGACACTCCCATCCCCTGAAACAACAAAAAAAAACTCTTCACATCCTGAAAAAGTCAGTGTAATGCTGAAATTGTGAAGAACTACCCTTGCAGCAAGACCTGGTCAATATTTGATTGGTACTGGATTGGTGTTCCTGGTGGGTTACTTCAGGAACCACTTGTTGCTCACCAGTATTATTAGTCACATCCACTGCATGAGTTCTCCTCATTTGGATAGTGGGTATATTTTAATACTAGCTACAAGATGGCTGTTAGTTTAACCTGTCAGTGCCAGTCCCCATTGCCTTCTCAATAAAAACTGAAAGAACTGTGGATGCTGTAAATGCTCTGAGGAAGGGTCACCGGATCCGAAACATTAACTCTGTTTTTTCCTCACAGATGCTGCCAGACCTGCTGAGCTTTTCCAGCAATTTTGTTTTTGTTCCCATTGTCTTCCCTTTGTTTTCTTCAATGAACTCTGGACCTATTTGCAACACTGGGGGGCTTCAAATTCCTGAACACCGGACAATACCATGAGCTGCTGTCTATCTGGCTGGTTCTCTGTACTCACATTTTAAAGTAATTATGAGCAAGTTCATGGACCTCGTTACCAAACCACCAATGTTTGCTGTTGAGTCTATGAATTGTCACTGTTTTTGCTGTCTTTAAAATTCAGCTGAAATCTGTTTTCTGGTTGGCAATTCCCAATCATTGTGAACAGAGGTGAGTGTGTTTCTCACTGAGGGATTGACACTGACCCCCAAGTACTTATTACCCAAACCCTATACTGACCCCACACTGGCACCCCAGGAACAGGCACCCCTTCAGAGAAAAAAAATCCTCCTCATCTTTATTTTAAATGGGTGACCCCGTGCTTTGAGATGATGTTGAATGGTGCAAGACTCTTCCACAAGCGGGAACAGCCTTCTGCATCCATCCTGTTGAAGTCCCCTAAGAATCTTGGGTTTCAATAAGGTCACTTCTCATTCTTCTCACTCTCAAACTGAATGCTAAAATCTACCATGTCGTGGTCACTGTTCCATAGCTCTGAAAGCACTCATTAAACATGCCTCATTGTACATTGATAACACATAGAGTATTGTGAGCAGTTTTGGTCTCCTTGTTTGAGGAAGGATGTTCTGAAAATGGAAGGAGTGCAGCAAAGGTTTCCCAGACTGATTCCTGGGATGGTAGGACTGACGTATGAAGAGGGACTGGATCGGGAGTTTAGATAAATTGCGGGGGTTGGGGGGGACTTCTAGAAACCTATAACATTCTAAATTTCAACTGAGAGGAAAAGATTTTCTCCTTTCTGTCCTAAAACTGCAACCCCTAATTTTTAAACAGTGCCTCTTTCTACACTTACCCACAAGAGGAAGCATCTTTCCCACACCCACCTTTTCAAGCCCATTCAGGATGTTATACACTTAAATCAGTCACCCCCTCACTGTTCTAAATGCCAGGGAAACAAGCCCAGTCTGTCCAACCTTTCCTCGTGAGACAGTCCGCTCAATCCAGGTATTATTCTCATAAACCTCCTCTTGAACCACCGGCAATCCATTTACGTCCTTCAAACTCGAACTGTGCTCAGTGTTCAAGATGTACCCTGTATACATGATGCATAATCTCATTTATGGTTCGAGTCCTGTTGTCAGAAAGGTTATCATTTTTTTAGCTGCCTTGATTGTGTGCGGTACCTGTTAATTACCTCATTTATGACTAAAGTACCAGAACATTGTGATTCCTTTACATCTTGGAATTCTGCAGTCATTCTCCATTTATATAATACGCTGCTTTTTATTCTTCCTGCTGAAATGAACAATTTCATATTTTCCCGCAAAATACTCCATTTGCTAGATTTTTGCTCCTCACTGAACTCATTTATGTCAGCCTGAACTTCATTGTGTTCTCTGACAACGTATTTTCCAACCTATCTTTGTGTCAGTTGTAGATTTAGCTACCATACGTTTGTTCCCCTCATCAAAGTCATTGATATAAATTATTGAAAAAGA